TGAAAACTATTGTAAAAAAAACACTATTTCAAATAAATTTAACTTATTGGAGGAATAGGAAAGTTGCATGTTGGGTCTGCTAAGGCTCCTGACAAAACTCTAAAGTCATGTGCTACACCTTTTCAACACGCAAAAACGAATATGAAAATCATGTTGAAATCACAAATAGCTAGTATATTTTTGCATACACTTACCTTTTCCTTTCCCTCGATACAGAATTATATAAGAATTTTGAATAAAAAAATTTGATAAGAATTTTGATCCTAATTAACAAATAGTGTGTTTGGATTGTAAGTTATTTGAGATATTTTTACCTAATTACCTTTTTGTGATGTAATGTATGTGAGATAAACAGGTAATTGAGAAGATAAAAATATGTATTGAAAATTGTAATGGTGATGTAAGCAAATATATTTGGACAAATAACCTACAATCCAAACACACTAATGTAAAGTAGTTGAAATAAATATGTTGATTCTTATTAGAATTAAATATTCAATTACGATTCTTGTGCTAAAAAAAGTACACACAAATTCAACAGATCAATTTTTATTTATCAAACACCCAAAATATCTGAATGTATAAAAAAATTCAGTTTCAACACTTTGTTATGTTATCAAATAGACCCTTAAACTAGTTTAAATGTGCATGTCAAGAATAACACTGTACTTAATTTTGATATTGCTGAGTGATTAAACCAAAAAAAATGTTGGATTTATGATTTACAAAAATCCCAAAATTAATCGTGTTCTTTTAGAAATAGTAAACAACTCTTGTTTAGCGGTAGTGTTGTTAGACCTGGTTTGGACTGGCCGATTTGACCAGTTCAACCATGAATCGACCTTCTTTCTGAATTAGTTTGTAGCACAAAATCGTTTTGATAAAAAAAATTAGTCGAAACCGGCTAAACCAATAACTTGGTTCGACTAGTTAATCCAATTTTCAAACTTTTCTCTTATTTTTCCTTACCTAAATTGTAACAGTTTCATTTATTAATAGGAATAAGAAAACGGCACCTATTTAGTATAAATATCAAGATCATTCACTTTTCTGAATAATCTCTAAATCAAAATGTTTTCATCCCTATAATCTTATTAATTTAGCATAAGTAATTTCAACTTGCATTAATTTGTTTTAATTTAATTTTCAAGTAGTTTTGAAGAACGGACATATTTTATTCATGAATTTACATTTTTATATATAATTATTAGGTATATATTTGATTGTAAGTCTAATATTTTTGGAACATTTTATATGATTGGTCGAATATAATCAAGAACTTAATTTCAATATTTTTAAAACTTATAAAAATATAAAATAATTATGACATCATGCTAACGTCAAACGGATTTTTTAGAACGATCTGACTGTTCCGACCAGTTGACCCATGATCTAGTAGTTTAGTCGAATTGCTATCCGGTCCGAATTTAACAACATTATTTAGTGGTTGACCAGATGGGGAAGATGCTTACACGTGCAAGTGGAAACGTATACTGAAATATTTATCATGAAATGGCTTAAACAAAAATCCGTTCAAGGATCAATTTAGTTTAATTGCACTAACAAATTCCTCATTTTGTTCAACATGGTATTTGATGGACATTGTGTACAAATCCTACTTTTTATAAAAAGCAAATTCTACTAATAGATTGCTGAAAATCGTCTAGTACAATTTGATAATTTGATTTACATTACTGTCCTAATGATAAGTTAAACATGCATTAGAAATCATAAATCCGATAAAACATGCATTAAGTTAAACTGTTTGAATTTATTTCTCCAATACTCTTCGTCCACATTTCTTCGCATAAAATCGGGGTCATATGGTACAAGTGTGGTCGACTCTGTACAACACTGGAAAGTGTGGAAACCGTCCATCTAGGCCTTCCACTTCTTTCATCATGGTCAAGGGAATCTGGAAATACCAGATTACCATCCAATGGTGAAGAAAATTCTAGAAATATCTCCATACTGATTATGGACTCGACTCTTGAGAGAGGTCGAATTGTAGTTTCATCTTTTCGGCCTATGTATATATGGGTCTCCATCCACATTTGGGCCTACGTACATATTGGACCTGTACCCCCTGAATTAATGGGCACATAAGCTTGGGGAAAATAAAAAACTTTCATTTTCCCATTTTTTTTTCCTGTTCCTACAAAAAGAACGAGGAGAAAGGAAGAAGTGGAAAACAACGGGTCCAGGTGAGGTTTGAACCCTCAACCTACAGTCCAAGGAGAGCCATTGGTCCAGTGGTTGCTTATCCGGCCGTTGGTTGCTATAAAATCCTTAAGCGCCTTTTGTGGGATGAAAAGTCAAGCGTTCAAACCTTCTATTTCTATTTCATCATTTCATCATGTGCTAGCATTTGTTTTTCACATAGTTAATTGACACTACCCTTACTTCTACTCTAATCTATTGTTAGAGTCTCAGCTATTGATTTGAGGTGCAAATTTAGTACTAGTATTTTGAGAATTCTAATGTCAATATCAGTTGCCTTTTAGGCTGAGTTGGAGCTGTTTCTTGCTGGATTCTATGTAAAATGCTTCTTTCAATTAACGCATCACATGAATCTGCAACTTGCCCCCACTTCCGCGCAAGCAGCTCAATGATTGTACTTGCATTCCCAGAGCTATTTAATACTTTTGCTCCCGTGGTTAAAACCTACACACTTCCCTAATTATTGGATGATGGATGATACACTTTTGACTTTTCTTCTCTTTACTGGTTGCAGGTTTTAAATAATCACGTACACATATAATAGCAGACTACTGTCTAAAACTAGTACTACATAAAATCCATTTTCTTAGCAGGTAAAAGTGCTGTTTATCCTATAGAGTATAGACCAATTAAGAACGGCATGAGAAAGGATAGAGGCGTCAAAATGGGTGATTTGGATGAGTGGGTAAAATGGGTAATGGATATAAGTGAGTCAATTTATTTATGTCTATTTAATTAGATGGGTATAAATGGGTAAGTCAAAAAATGAATTGGGTAACTCAATTACCCATTTATAATCCATTTATTTTAATTTTTTGTAAATTCATTTAAATTCATTTTTGCAAACTAAGTTATCAATTTATACCATCCTTTGCACCCATCATTAGTTTTAAATATTTATTTATAATACTCAATAAATCTAATTATCAATTTTTTTTCATCCGTACTCTATGTTGCAAAATTACATACTATTTAATAATTAAACAATAAGAATATAAAAATTTGAACTAAATACTATAAAAGTTAACATAAAAATTTAATCCAAAAATTTTGAACTTCTAACATTTTTTCGTGTGTAAATTTAAAATTTCATTTTGGAAAAGTAAGAAAAGAGGCTAAAATTTGTCATAAATTGGTAATGCTGAAAAATGAGCAAGTTAACAAACTAAGAGAAAATAAAATGATAAGATAAAACCAACAAATAATAATAATAATAATAAAACAAAAGTAGTTAATATCATGACAAAATGAAAAATTTGAAAAAAAAAATGGGTGGAGGAAGAGAGGAGGTTTGGGAGAAGATAATTCTAAATGGGTTAATTGGGTTTGATAGGTTACCCAATAATACTCATATGTAAAAATTTAAGATACTTATACCCATTTATTCATGGACGGGTATGAATAAACTTAATTAAATAGGTTTGTTTAGCCTTGTTTGGATTGTATTTTTTAGGATTTTTTGTAGAAAAATTATTGTAGCGATTTAATGTATGTGAGAAAAAAAGGTAATAAGAAAATGTGATCACGAAATGGGTTAGGAAATTTCTGACTCTGCTCAATGTAGAGAGTTACCTATTGTTTTAAGTAACAGAACCGTGACAGAGAGATGAAATGCAACCGCACAAAAAAACAGAAGAAAAATGGATGACCTTGAGATTTGGTTTTCCTTGTAACGTTTGCAATTGGCCCTTGAACCAAATGGAACCATAGTAGCAGCATCCAATTGAACCGACTACAGCCCACTAATTAGGTGGTGTCTTATTTCCTCATCCTGGTACGAAATGACTAATACCCTACTCTTCTGAAGAAAGAAAAAAGAATCAGTTACTAGTAAAGAATGTGGACCAATTGAAGGAAAGAAAGTAGCCCCATACAGCCACAGACAGCTCACTTGTACACCATGTAAACTGTAGGTGTCCTTGTCATGCTCCAAAGGCAGTGCACATTGTCCAATTGTCCAGCCAAGACATTGAAAGTGAGTTTGAATAAAGAAAAAAGAAAGAAAAATCCCATGACCCCATTTCCACTCTGGAATATGCTTTGCTTGCCTGACTTATCCTACACCAACCAGGGCATACAATACATAAATTGAGAAAGACACGGGGGAGTTGCAATGAATTGGCTTGAACCAAATTCGCTGGCCAAAGGCTCCACCACCCTATAATAATCCGATATTTGGAGTCTGGAGTCTTATTTTCTGTACATTTCGCACCCTCCCATATAGTTGCTCTGTCTCAGTGGGGCACTGATGCATACCTATGATCACGGCGCTTGCTCTGATGATGTTTGATGGATACTTTTGCACTTAATTAACCTGTCATGAGATCGACATGGATTGCGGCGGAAAAAGAATAGAGTACGGCATACAGATTGAGACAACCTAGCTAACATAACAGAGAAACAGAGACAAGTACACAACTGAACTTGCAGTAGAAAAATGAGAAGGTTAGAAGTAGGACTCGGGGCTGCAACCGTCCTGCCAATTTTAGCTCATTTCAACTGCGCGTAACATTGGTTCAACTGCGCGTAACTTTTTTTTCACAGGATGTATTTTCACAACAGATAGTGGTGGGCCCCACACTTGGCGCGGATTTCGAGTTACATGGTGTTATTTCAGCCGCACAAAATTTTGAGGGCCAATTTTCAGCCGCACAAATTTTTAACCGTGCAGGGACGGTCATACTGATGACCGTCCCTGCCCCAAATCCTTAGAAGTATGCCTTCTTGTGGTATACTCTGTCCAAGCATGGAAACATACAATGCGACTTATAGTTTCTAAGTAGTACAAAACAGTCAACCAATCTAGCATACAATAAAACCTGATTCAATAACTTATGAGGCATAATCCAATGGTGATTTCATATTTTTATATCACAAAAAAAAGAAGAAGCTAGTACAAATCCTACAAAACTAATGGAATGAGAGCAATAAGCTTATTAGCAAGCATCAAAATTTGCATAAACCTACATTATTACTGACATCTCCCATCCGTAATATTATCTCCACCTAGATGGCAAGTCATGGCTCGTACCATTGTCACCTTCACTATTATTAGATGCACCGTTGCCGTATGGTTGGTTGACTAGTTTTGCTCCAGCAAGATTATTTTCTTTGTACTCACGATTGGAACCAGCAAGATTATTTTCTTTGTACTCACGATTTGAACCAGCAGATTCTCTGCCAATTCGTCGTTCCTGAAGATCAAGGGAGAACAAAAAGAGGGAGGTAAGTATGCAAGTAGTGAGAAATCTAGAGAGTGAATAAGGAGGACCCCCTAGTAAGTGTATTCTTGTATTCAGATGTAGCGGTTCTTGGATGAAGAAAAAGAGAGAATAAGATGCATACATCACGAAACAGCAGGTCATCTGCCTCCAGCATGTGGATTACGTGCACCATTTTTGGTCTCTTATGGGCATCAGGATCAACACATTTCAGGGCAACCAGAAGAGCACGTTTAAGTGCTTTTGAACTAGGCATTTCTGGCAACTTAGGATCCACCACTTCCTCAGATTTTCGATTTCCAACCATGGACTTCAACCAATCCACCAAATTAACCTGTCAGTAGTTTACCATTTTCCATTTTAGAGGTGATTGAGAAGTTCAATGCAAAAAAAAAAAAAAACAAGGGAATCTATGAGATATGCATAAATTTGAGTACTAACCTCTCCCTGTGGCCTGCTATAATCAACTGGAGATCTACCAGTAATTATCTCCATGATAAGTATTCCAAAGCTATAAACGTCACTTTTCTCATTTAACATGCCAGTGCACGCATATTCTGGTGCCACATAACTAGAAAACAATGATATTTAGCAAAACTTCAACGTCATATGACAAAACAAGTAAGCTACTTCAGAAATGAAATTAACGAACCCAAATGTGCCCATGACACGAGTTGTCACATAAGTCCTTTCAGAATTTAACAGCTTTGCAAGTCCAAAATCTGACACCTTGGCATTCCACTGACTATCAAGTAGTATATTACTTGTTTTAATGTCACGGTGAACAACCTTTGGCTCAAGACCATCATGCAAATATGCCAGACTGCAAGGGTCAGGAAATAAAGTTTTAAACAAGCAGACAACATTCACGCAAGAAACTCACTCAAATAAAACAATGGACATTTGATGAAGTACAAATCTAAAGTCTATACCCTTTTGCAGTTCCCAATATTATATTCATCCGTATATCCCAAGTCAAAGGACTGACTTCCCCTACTTCTCCATGGAGCCACTGCTCCAAATTCCCATTGTCCACGTACTCATATACAAGCATTCTGCACAAAAAGAACAAGCACAACATGTCAATCAGCTTCTTTTGGGATAATAATAACTCGAAGTGCATTCTTCAACTGAGATGCATATCATTACCGATAAGCTCCTTCGACACAGTATCCCAGCAGCCTGACAAGATTCTTGTGCCTCACTCGCCCAATAGCGTCCACCTCAACCTTAAACTCCCTCTCTGCTTGCCCCCTGATAGTCATTACTCCAATGAGTTTAAGCATGAGAGGAAGGGAGAATAATGCACTGCTACTACAACACAAAACTATAATTCCCTTATTTTGAGCAAAAGAAAAAAAGGACATTCTTTTTACTGTTTGAAGTGAGGATGAAGGTTCCAAAAGCCAACGTCCAGTACATGAAACCGCCAAAGCTATCATTTTCACGCACCCCACGACAATAGAACCATTCCAAACAGTGCTTAGATCTTATGTCCTAAATACAATAGCATACTACATCTTGGTGTTGTAAAATTCGCACTTTTCACGGTATATAGAAATTGAAGCATATTCACCTGAAAGCAGATTGCTTTAAAGTCCAAATCAAACTTGTTCAAGACAAGCATAAAAAAGCGAAAACTGACAATTACAAATACTAAATTTAACTTGCCAAATGGTGTAACAAGGACAAAAAAAAAACAAATGGTTCCTCCGGAGTAAAAAAATTCCTAAATAGCAACACGTATTCATTGCTATTATTGGAGACATGCAGTTATAGTGACAATACACTGTATGCAATGCCTGGAATACCATTATGATACCATCTGATTATCTATCATACTCTTGCCAAAGTCAAACCAACAGTTCATTAAAGCTAATTTAGTTGTAAGTTCCCATACCTGTTATTCAACAGATTCTTCACGGCAACTCTGGTATTATCAGCCAGAATACCTTGATACACAATCCCGTATCCACCTTCTCCAATCACATTCGCATCAGACAACCTATCGGTAGCTGCCTCGAGCTCTCTCAAAGTGTACCACCTTCCCCACCCCAGATGGGACACCTCTGGCAATGCCCCACTACCACCGAACGACCCTGTCTCCGCCCCACTTGTTGCCTTACTCTCCCCACTCGATGCCCCCCTGTCCGAAAATACCACCCTGTGCTCAACCTTCCCCATGTCTATCTGAATCTCAGGCAACGCCTATACATCATCATAAAGAAAAAGCAAAATAAAACAAAACTCAGCAATAATGCATATCCTTATGCCAAAACAAATTAAACAAATTTGTAGATGAAGTAAAGATCGAAAAGAAACTCCACAATCCCAACTCAATTTGGTCAACATTTTGTCATTAAAAATGTACTCTTTTTTCTTCATACTTCAAAATTAAGAACTAATAGCAGTAAATTAGCATATATTAGTATCACGACAGCAAGAAGTAGACATAAAAGAAGACATGCCTGAGGGACAATGGGGCGGTGATCGGGGTGGGAATCATGAACGATCTCTTGGATTTCCTTGGAAACAACTGGGGTCAGCTCGGCTGCACCAGAAAACTTTCCGGGATGGTGAAGTTTAGCGGTGCTGCTGGTGCGGCGGCGATAGGCGGTGATGCAAAGAGACAACAAGAAAAGGATTAGAACAATCACGGCTCCCACAAAAATCCCAATTACCACCCATAACCGCAGGCCGAATATGGAGGTTGGCTTAGATAGCTCGCTGTTCACAAACGCCGCATCGTACACCGACATCTCTTCACTATATACTAGCCGCTGCAGCTGTCACTGTCGTCTCTTATTGTACTGATAAGCTATCAATATTCATCTGAATTATGTAAATGTGCATGTACACTTGAAGTGGGATCCGGCCGAATACTAGGAGAAACAATGGGATTATCAAGCTTGAAATAATCAAAGGAAGCTATGAGGTGTCATCGAATCAATGGGATATATATTGCCTGCCCGGATGCTGAAGTAAACGTGGATGTTGTTTGCCCGAAAATGCAGGGGGGGGGTCTTGTTTTCCGGCGAGGTCAGGCAAATTAAAGAGGCGAGCTTTGCAGTGAACAAATGAGAAATCTTGGAGAAGATGAAATGGGAAAGAGAGTTGTGTGTGGGAGAGAATCTTTTCTTTCTTTCTTTCTCTCACTGTCTGTGTGAGAGAGAGAGAGAGTGTGTGTGCGAGAGTGTGTGTTCTCACTTCTCACTGTCTGGTCTTAATAAGATTTGCTGTGTTTTGTAGTAATTCACAGAGACACTACTCTCTCTGTGTATTTGACGTTAGGAGGTGGCTTTGCCTAATTATTGTTGGTTAAGTAGTCTACTTAGTAGGGTTTTGCTTTATGTTGATTGAACAATTAACCTTAAATACTAGTGCTATAATTAAATCAATTGATAGACCAATTAATTTAAACTCAAATTGATGCCCAAATCCACTTTGAATTATAATAAGCTTTTTTTTTTTTTTAAAGAATTATAATAAGCTACTAGTGCAACAAACTGCCCAAGCTCGACTTTTCCTTTTTGAAAAAAAAAATTTTTTTTTGCTTGAAATTATAAAAAGATACCTTGAAATCGGTCCATCGTATATTACACTTGTTAAAAATAAAAAAAAATTAAGGCAACTTTTAACACTACATAAATTCCTATAGAACTTTATATTCGCTAAAGAAAATCATGCCAAGTATTAAAAAATTTCTCCAAGTTGTACAAATTTTCATTGATGAGCAAGTATAATAAGGGGGCATACCCTTAAGCAAAAAAGATCAAGGGATCAAATGAGAATCCCGTAAAACACTACACGTAAAATACATCCAAAACTCTTTATAAAAAAAAAAATATTGCAGCAGAACATATCAAAGTTATAGGAAAATATATTTAAAATCCTTTACGGTTTGGGTATACAAAAAAAAAAAGCATAGGTTCTAAATTTTACCAAGACTTGTAGAATCTAAGTTCAAATTCTCCTTTCCCTTCTGAAACTTAAATCCCAAATCTCCGTTGTTGGAATAAATTTTTTTTTTAAAAAAAAGTACCAAAATTTACCATTTCAATGTTCAAAAAATTTAGACTCTACCATACCCTACAACGAAAGTGTTTAGCAGAAAGTTGAAATGCTAGTAATTGACTATCAAATGGGATGTAGGCATTAAATTTTCAGAGGTTTATTTCCATTTAAGTTGTCAAAAGAATGACGATTTTCCAAAGATAAATTGCAACCAAAGGATTGTAGGTTTTCCAAAACCCCTAATCATATTATAACTACTCTAAAATGCTATATAAAACATGTTTAGGAATGATAACAGAGTGAATTCCAATCCCGTGAGTGAAAAAATGGGGTGGGGCAAAGGGATTTCCGAACTCCCCCCACCCCAAATAGGATGGAGGACAGAGGAACATACCCCTACCCTTCCCCTCGCCTAAATTTTAATATAGTATAACATTTATGTATGTTTTTATATGTATAATATGAAATTAATGCTGTGTTATTGTTATTACAAAAATATATTTGTATGAATTAAGCAACGCATTAAAGAAAAGTAACATGTTACGTTGTTATAATAAAATGATGTAATATTTTGCTGAAATTTCAAAGTAATGATTAATAAAAAAACTATTTGTATTAGATATATATATATATATATATATATATATATAATGATTATAAATAAAGATAATAATAGTGGGATGGGGCCGGAGGAACTTTTGTAAAGTGGGAGTCGGGCGGAGTTTCTCCTATCCCAAAGCCACTCCATTGCCAATGTTTACTTGTCAAGTTTCTTACTTTCTGCCAAACGCACAAACTTTTTAATTTTAACCTTTTGGCAAAACAAAACTTTTTTAGGGTAGAAAAAACATCACAATTCTTTGATTATGGAGTTTTCAAATCGGCTTAAAAAAAAAAAAGATGTATGAGAAGAATACTGAGGAGCTATTTTGAGGATTTTTTGATTTAAAAAAAGATAATTTTTATTCTATAAATCTGTATTAATGGTAGAACATACATCAAATATAATATATATATATATTTTTTTTTGAAATCATTAATTACAATAAATCTAAAAAATGATAAAAATAAAGATAAAATGTTGGCACTCCAGGATGCCTTTCTTCGGGGAGCTATTTTGAGGACTTTTGGGAGTGGAGAACAGCATAATTGTGCTAGGAAGCTCTTAATCACGAGGTCCGTTGGACTTGGGTGATTCACGGGCCCATTTTAACGGTAGGGATTAGAATTTAGAAACAAACAATGAGGCTAAAGTAAGGCAATCTTTCCACCCCCCCCCCCCCCCCCAAAAAAAAAAAAGAAAGGAAAGTAAGGAAAGCAAGTGTTACTGTTAGATGAGATCCAGGAGTTGCAAGGAATCTTCTATTTTGCCAAAAAACAAAATGTATAAAAAAATGAGATTTTTTATGAATTTCTTGTTGCATTTTTTAATTTATTATTATATATATTTTTGAGACTTTTGTATTTATTTTTACTTAATTAACAATTATTGAATATTAAGAAAATTAAGAAAATTAAAATATGATGTTTATAAAAAATAATAATAATATAATAAAAAATAGATTAGAGATTGTCAAGAAGTGGGACAGAAAATTCGTTGGAATGCCTGTGGTCCGGAATGGAGGATTCACGGGGATGAGATACCTTGTGATTGGCTTATTTAAGTATACACCTTTATTCGGTAGGAGATAACTTGTGATTGGCTAATTTAAGTATAGGAACTTACTTTGTTTAGGAAAATAATGTAGGAGAAGTCTTGGAACTTTTTTTGTTTTTTAAGATTCCCAATGAAAGTAAACTGTGCAGTAGTTAGTATCGAATTATCAGAAGAACACATATAAAGAACGTTTTCTTTCTCTTTTTCCTCAATGATGAGATCTAGATTGTTGCATTGATTAGTTAATGATGACAAGAATAGACTTTTTTCTTTCACTCATTCATTTTAGTAAAAGAATTAATTTTCTATATATTGACACAGTATATACACTTTTACTATTAAATACATGACATATAATCTGAATTTAAACTTGAAAATCAAAATTTATATATATGCCGTCTATCCAATCATGATAGTATATACACTATCAACGTATATAAGATTTACTCTTAATAAAATACCAAAAGATTTTTTCAAGAGAATGGATAAAAAGTAAAATAAGAGGAGTTGAAAGATGTAAATTGTCTTAGCTATTTCTTTGCGACATGAGTTATTTGAATAACCTATATTTTCTTCCAAATTTGATACTAGAAGAAAAAAAACTCACGTTAAGTAATAAGATTTTTCTAACGATTGCCTAGTAAACTTTTGTTAACACGCTTAAATTACGCCTATTTTACTACTATTTGAATACACACATTAATACTAACTAGTACCTTTTCTTGTATTTATATGTTGTTCTTAATTAACTTTATTTTTTCAAAAATTTAACACCTGGTTCGTGGAAACCCCCAAATTGGTGTCGCAATCAACAACTAGTAGCATTAACTAATAGCAGTGTGTATTGGTTTAGCAATTAGTATCACGTAAATGAAGGATGACTGAATGAATTAATTAAATAGCATTAACTGCCGTAGATGTAGGTAATCCACTAATCAAGCCTTTCAATAGTAAGAATTAAGGGTTATTATCACTTTACCCCCTTAACATTTGGTGCTACTATCAATTTCCCCCTTAACATTATCGTTTAGTCACTTTACTCCCAAGACTAACAGTCAAACTTAATGGAATTTGTTAATTAGAATGAAAAGACATGTTTAACCCTTAAAATTATTATCACTTTACTCCCATAAAATATAGTCTTATTATCAATTTACCTCTTATAGTTATTTTTTAGGCAATTTATCGTACCATTAAACCAACTTAGCAAGTTAAAAAATTTTAGAAGAAAATACCCTTCTCTTTATATAATAATAATAATAATAATTTAAAGTGACTCTTCTCCTTTTTAGTATCAAGAAAAAAAGTCAACGTATTAATTTCTTTCTTCTTGACAATCTTATTAATGTTGAAAAAAAATAGAAAGATGGAGAGGGGGAAGGGAAGGGGGAGAGGGAGAGAGAGAGCTCAATTCTTTTTTTAAAAATTACAAATAAAAAAGAATTAATACTTTTATTATTTTAAAATTATTTCACTTTTTTGTTTACCACCAAATTCCAATCCTAGTCTCGACAACCTTAAACTAATACGATAATGTTAGACTTTTCTTTATTTTATTTTTTTTGCAAAATCTAATTTTTTGTCTTCTTCTTTCTTATCTCTTTTTCTTCTCCTAATATTAATAAATGTGAAAGAAAGAAATTTGAGAAAACCCTTTTATTTTTATGTTTTTCGATCTTTTAAAGTGAAAAAAAAGGAAGAATAATCATTCCAACTTTTTTATTTTTAATTACATATAAAAAAGGGTAAATATGTTACAAATTTTTTGACCATACTAGTTAGATTAACGATGAGGTAAAATGTCTAGAAAATAATGTTAGGAACTAAAGTGATTATATCACTATAATCTAAACGAATAAAGTGATAATAACAATGTAGTAATGCTATAAAATAAAAAGGGTATATTTGTCCAAAATTTCTTAACACGTTGAGTTGAATTACTTATGGGGGTAAAGTAACTAAAAGATAATATTAGAGGGTAAACTGATAGTAGTGATATAGTTTAAAGGGTAAAGTGATAATAACCCAAGAATTAGTAATGGAGTCACTTTAAATAAGATCCATGCCCTAATGCCACTCCCCTGCACGTCCTACACTACGGCATTTAGACAAGACTACATTGCTTGAAACCGTCTGTCCCAGATTACGTCCGAGTTTAATTATCACGTGTATTAATTAATAACTCTTAGGAATCTATTACGGATAAATCCAACGATCAATAACTTTTAGAATTTTATTAGAGAATAAGTCCAGCAGCATAATACATGTGACAGTTAAATAAAGACGGGACAGAAACAAAATCCGGAATAGATGATTTGAAGCGAGACTACGCTAGGCTAGTGCAGGTTTGATTAATGGGCTTCGTGAATAACAAGAAGAATTACTCGTGTTAATAGTTTATTGAATAGGAGGAATAGTGTAATCCCCATCACCCAATCACTCAATGGGAGTCAATCTGCATTTTTTTTTTCCTTTTGGAAGCCAAATAGATCAGCATTCATTTTGATGGCTAAGAGAGATGGGCCACTAAACGAATTTTTTTTTTCCTTTGTAGTTCTTAGGTTAATAAAATAA